TATGATAGTGTAAATAGGGATTAAGAAAAACTTAAAATAACATGAATAAACAGGAAGTTTGGATAAGAAATTTAATGGGATGGTCACTATTAGAAGAATTACGTGTTTATGATGGCCATAGCAGGGATAGGGGTTGGACGTATTTCTTTTGGATGCATAGCGTGGGTTTGAGCTTTTGAATGGCTAGTGCCTCGGCTATGCCCAGATGTCTTGATTTCACTCCCTTTGATAGGTTTGATCGAATCTTGTATATTACTTTGAAGGATTTTTCGAGTGGCGCTGAATGTCCTGAATTGACCAGATGTTCTGCCACTGAACTATGTACACGTTTTCGGTCTCCTTTTACTGGCCAGGCTGGAAAGTGTTCATGAGCGCGTTTTTCAAGTTTTTTTTTAATCCATATTTACACTATCATATTTTCATATCCGAACTTCCTGTCTATTTTGTCATCTTACTATTTCTACATATTTAATCCCTAACTGCATAAACAATTATTCGTCACATCAGTTATGATCCCACTAGATTTTCTTATCCGAATATCCTGTCTATTTTTGTTATTTCTACATTTCTAACCCGTAATTGTACAGTATGTAAATCTTCTCAGTAATTACGATGCTACTTTGTCTGAGCTTTATTCGTCCCCCTATTTATTATTATGGCATTTTAATTCCTAATTGTAGTTATATTAATCTGACCCTTGATCAGAAATTATTCTGGAACTTTCCTACCCATTTCTTGTAAATACACGAATGTACAGTCTAGTTGATGACTTCGTTGAAAAGAAAATTATCTTCGCTGCAACCGTCTTTTTATTAATTGCTTTTTTGTAAGCTAACTTAGTTACTTATATTTTTACAAGTAGGCTCTCGTGTTCTTTCACGTTTTCAACTTTCAGCTGGCTATGCGGTTAAGTAATTTTTTTATTAACGAATCTACAAGAATCCATTATGGATAAAATTTTATGTTGATAAAGTCTCATAGTGTTTGTTGTACACCAATATTAACTGATGATCACGTTTTGAACAGAAATTATTACTGCATATAATCACATCAAGGCACTACTCACACAGCTTTATTGCTTCATTTAGATATATGAGTAAAAATTGATTCAACATTTGGATAAAATCATTGTAAGATGAAGTACATTCGCAAATAGTCTTAGTGTTATCAATAAAGTACAATAGGATGGGAAATAAGATGCTTTTATACGAAAAACAAGTATCTTGCTAGAATGTTATAATGTGAATTGAATACAATTTCACATCATTTATTGTCCCTGAGTGAGTTTGTAGGATTGAATGCCACCCTAATTCCTGATTTATTGAGACTCCTACGTAGTGCCTCAGATGGTAAAAGTGTAGATGCCTTGTATTCTCTCTTTTTTTATGTTATCGTTATTAGTTTCACTATTATTTTTATTTTCCTTTTTTTTGACCTTTATGATATTCTTAATGGAAATTTATAGGATAGTTATTCAACACCGACGCCTCTTCTTCTATCTGTTTCATTTTATCGTTTAGGTTTATTGTTGTACTACTTAGTGCTATTGCTCAGTTTGTTAGACACTTAAATAAGCTTGCCTTCACAGACAGATAACGGATGGGGTGATGAATTAAAGTCTAAACATCTATTAGCAGAATGCGTTGACTTTTCTAAGCGCTAATGTGTAGTTTACCTTCTTCTGTTCCTTTTATTTTACAATTTGTCATGATAGCTAATTCTCCTTGTTCATTTTACGATTCCAATGTGAACTTTATTCCCTTTACTAGTGAGTTTATGTGTGTGAAGACGCTAGAGAGAGATATGTACAAAAAAAAATGAGAATATATTATTACATGTTCTGTTTTTAACACTGTGAGAGTGTCATCCACATATCTCCACCATATTTTCGAAGTAGGATTAAATGTACGTAGAGCAATATTTCCCCTGCTGTCTATAAAGATATCTGCTACGACAGGGGAAATTGATCTCATCGCTACACTATCTGTTTGTCTATATATTTTGCCCTGGAATTTAAAGACAGTAAAATATTCCGCTTGACATTTTACATTAGGAAGTTAAGACACTCGGGTATAACTCAACCCCTCATCCTACAGTTCATAAACTCTTGCATCCTACCTATTCTTCTTTATTGCTCACCCTTATTCTTTCCTGGTTTGCTTAAAAAAGACTATGTCACAATTCGTAGAATACTGAAGACTGTCAGTAGAGTGAGTGGTGTCCCAGTGGACCACATAGTTAACGTCGTTGTCAATAGGCATTTGACTTCGTGCAATAAATTTGCCAAAGGGATTTTGTCTGACTTGGAGCATCCGCTTTACCCTCAGCTTTCACCTTGCATCTCCGCCTCAGGTAGAACAAAGAGTAACTTCAGAAAACTGTATGCTCGCACGTCTAAGTATAAGAAGTCTATGATACCATACTTGGCATGTATTTTATGTGATGAAAATAGCGTCAGGCAAGAATAAACTAACCTTCTTTCATCCAGTAAATAAACAATTTCCTCCATCCATCCTTACATACCTTCAAGTTTTACTTTTATTACTTCTATTATATTTATGGTCCTGTTAATTCTCTGTTTTACTCTCATAATTGCAAACACCAACTTATCTCCATGACGGCTGTAATCTATGTTTTTTCCTTCACCATATCATGTAGAAAGAACATTATATTCAATATTTTTAAACATGTTAGGATTTCTATACCACATTGACAATACTGTGTGGCACAAGCCAACGGCAATTTTCACTTGTATTCTTATTATTATTACCCTAGCTGTTATCATTATTATTGCTATTTCCATTTTATATACTGCATGTTTTTGACACTACCTCTATTGTAAATGTGGAAAATTTTCTGTGATTAATTTTACTTATAATTTGAGGAAATTAGATGCAATATTGTGATTAATGCTGAAAATTCCATTCTGTATCACAAGTACTGTTTTTGGAATAAAGTAAATCATTATTATTATTATGTGAGACATAACTGAATTTCTAAAATAATTTTCTCACTGGACAGCTTTTTCCTATGACTAATTTCGGGTTCAGAAGATATTATTACCAGTCAAATCAGAGGATAATAAATAATGTGAAATTGTATTCAGTCCACATTATAACATTCTAGCAAGATACTTGTTTTTCGTATAAAAGCATCTTATTTCCCATCCTATTGTACTTTATTGATAACACTAAGACTATTTGCGAATGTACTTCATCTTACAATGATTTTATCCAAATGTTGAATCAATTTTTACTCATATATCTAAATGAAGCAATAAAGCTGTGTGAGTAGTACCTTGGATATGGTTATGAGCAATTATTTAGGCTTGTTTCGTTGTCCTACTTATGTAATTATCTCCACAAGGGTAGTTATATGTATTTTAGTTAAGCGCTCTGATCCCCTGCTTCAAAAACAAAGGTACCTGAGAGAACTGCATATCCCGAAGTGTATTTTCAGTGTTATTGAGACTGTACACTGAAAAAACTGTAGTCTAAACCTCTATAATGTCCTAACATACATCAGAAGGTGTGTTGTAGAAATAAATAATTTTTAAATCTCCATTTATGTTAATAAGAGTTGAGAATTTAAAATTATTTTGTTGGGAGTGAATTGCCCGGCCTAAGATATTTATAACCAAACATTTCATTTGTATTCATCAGAGTTGTTAATTAACAAGGGAGCGCTAACGCAAGTAGTCCCTTGCACTGTTTAGCTGCTCAGTAGTTCAACAAAGCAATTTAAAAAAAAATTCAGAAAAGAATACCCTTTTCGATAATTTCCTCTTCCGGCGCTACAATTACATATGTTTCTTTATATACAAAGAATATTCTAGAGTAGTGGTCAATAAAAATATTGGTGCTTTTTCAATAATAAATTAAATAAGCAATGGAATTACAGTACACGAAAGATGCACTAGTTATAAAAAGGAAAAAATGCAATAGCAAATAGAATATCAAATAAAATTAAGGAAATTTCTACAACAACAAATTGATGATCATTAGAACCTTTATGACCGGCTGGGTAAGGACAGTGTCTGAACCAACCAGCTTCTTTTGGAGACATAAGTTAGGCTTCTTAATATCGATCCGGACGGCCACCCTCAGCAATATGTAGCAGACGAACTCTTAAGATGCAGCTAGGATTAGTTGGTATATTGTAAATGACTTTGAAAGCCGCCTCGTAAACATGAGTCTTGTGTTCTACATCCAAAAGATGAGATAGAATAACGCTGTGAATGGATGTTGTTTACCCTTTACTTAATCAACAACGCAGGGTGATGTTCGGAAATCCGACGAGAAACACACCTAGTTGTACAGCTTATATAACTGACTCCACAGGACCGGTCAAATTGGTAGACACACACACACACACACAGAAGAGGCGAAATTAGTCAGTTTATCTTCAACTCCTGAATACAAAATACGGGTGGTTTTGAAGATACAACGTAATTCAGCAGCATTGAATACTCTTTTTACCTCATTTCTAAGGCATTGCGTTAATATCAAGCTGATGTTTTCCCCGAGGAACTGAAGTTGTAAGAATAAGGCCTTTTTGGGAACTGTTGGTACCTTTGGCTATCTTGATTTTTGATTCATAGTCTTACCAATGAATTTTCATGAATAACCGATCTCACCCAACAAGTGTATAACAATATTAAGTTCTTCACTAAGAAAGTCATCAAACCAGATTGATCTTGCTCTGTGAACCAAGCACTTTATCACATTGCGTTTGTACTTCAAAAGTACGATGCTGAAAAATTAGTATATTGACAAGTTGATGTTAGCAAACACCTGGTTTACTACTATATTTGAAACTTGATTCAACCTGGAAATTTTATGTCCATTTTTGAGGAAAGTCATGAATTTTATGATGATATCAAGATCTAAGCTTTAACCAAAGTGAAAACTATGCACTTATTCACTGTTAGTCTCTTAAATTTAGTCATTTGAAGTTTCTGCAAACTTACTGTTCATTGGAAAATATGCTTTTTTTCATAGGATTTTGAAGCTTACAAAATCTATACCAAAGAACTATTAGACAATGAGAGAAGATTGAACAAGGAACTACGACAATTATTCAACTGAAATTAAAAAAAAACCAGCATATTCAACAAGAATGAATATTTGAAGAAGACTTTGGATAAAGAATTACATTCTTTTTTTTATTGTCAGTTAAACGTATCAAGATTTACTTGTAAATCAATAAATCGACTAGAAATATTGATTTCATCTCGTTTGTTTAACTGATAACAATATGCGAAAAGTTACAAAATGAAACCTCTTGTAGAAATCGTCTGACATAAAAGAGTAGAATCAATATTGATTACAAAAACTGTTACATTCGCTGCGAAAACGTGTATTATATAAACATTCTTATCTAAATAAACATGACAGGTCGTTTAATTATACCGAAAATGATATGCATCGTTGTACAGGCTAGGATATTTGTTTGAAAGCATCAAATTCCGTGAACAAAGCGTCTTAGTCGACTGCAAGTATTGCTCATTCACAGGTTACAATGAAGTCAGTACTAGGTGATCATCAGTTCTCCATAAATTTTTTAATTGATTCATGTTTGTAATAAAGTCATTTTTTCCCCAAGGATATTTCAATGTAGTAGAATAACCTACTCTAGCCGTCCACTGGTGCACTTACTTGAATGTCAGGGAAATGTTACTTCAGTCGTCTAATTGCATGTGTATTTATATATTCACCTACCTATTACAGAGCGAGGTATATAGGACGTTCATCGAGAAACATAACCCGTCGCGTTCAAGAGCACCTCCCAATTTGGCTGATTAAGGGAGAACGTAGAGGTATTAATTCATTCATACTGCAACATATTGTAGATAGTGACCATGCAGAATCTGACACATCGTTTAATATAGTCTACAAAATTCGATGAAGTTTGCTGAAAGGGACACCAGTGCGTTTGTTGTGTACAGCAGAGGCTTTGGCAATACACATAACACAAAAGTCAGAGGTTACTTAATTCACTCCTTCTATCTAGGGAGCATTGTCTCAACTACACGCAGTCGGAACGGACGAGGATGTCAAATCGAGCGACAATCGGGAAGGCGAAAAACACATTCATCAACTGACTGAAACCAATCTGAAAATCTTCGTCACTCAGCATCAACAACAAAATCCAGTCGGATTCCCAATACAAACAACGTCAAGTCAGTCAGTTCTTCTATACGGATCAGAAACTTGGCGGGTGGGTCACAAAGAATATTTCTAACAGCCTGTTGCAGACCAGACCTTTATCAACAACTGTCTTCACTGGCTCTATACTGAAGATCAGATGGCGGGGCCGGAAAGAATCACCAACAAGAAGAAATTATGGGAACGAACAAAACAAGAATCAATCGCCAACCAACAAATATGCAGGAGAAATTGGAGATGGATTGGACACTCGTTGAGGTGGCCACTGAGTGACATTGCGAGCGCGTCAGGCCATCGCTCGGATGGAACCCGAAAGGGAAGCGGCGAGTGGGACATCAGTGCAAGGGTGACATGGAGGAGATGGTGTGAAGAGGAGTTGAAAGAGTATAGACTAAGATGGATGCAGGTGAGAAGTACAGCAGAAGACAGAAGCAAGTGAAGACGTGCAGCTGAAGCCCTATGCTCCACTAGGAACCCAAGGGAATAATAATATAAAGCTAGAACTTTGTGTATAAAAACAATTTGTTCGAACGATGTCTTTCGTTACCATGGTCTTGATTTTACTATGTAATTCACACAGCAACTTTGTTATCCTCTTTTATCTCATGTTCCATTTTTCTATTATTTCATTTCACTTCATTCTATGACACATTCTAACATTTTATCCAGTCTACTACTTTGACAACATTTCACTCATCTCATGTCTCCAGCACATTATGTTCACAATTCCAAAAATACCTTATTTTCCAATCGTTTATTTCACTCATGTTTATTGAATTTTAGGTTGACCTCTATTTATTTGATCTATTCCACAAACTTCAATATACACATATACCGTTGTATACGTATGAAAATGAGATCGTCGAAAAGATAATTTTCTTCTCTGAATTCTTTGTTTTCATATTTCAATGGGGATAATTGATTTAATAGAATTCAATTATCAAAGAATCACTTCAAGTGGGCTATCACACACAAGTAGTTGTGACCATTGATATCTTACTTAAAAAGCAATACGTCTTTCCGGTTCTTCATCACTTGTAATAATGAATTAACAATATTCAAAATAGTCAATCCTTTTAGTAAATTTGGACACAGTTATTACAAGGTGCGGGTTATCTGACAAGTGTGATGTATTTGCGCAAAACACTTGGAACAGCCTGATCAAAACATTTATTTCTCAAATCAATTCATATCAAAAATAAGAGTGTGATCACGTACTAGTATCCATCAGAAAATCATTGAAAACTCGGGATTATTGGACAGACTTTCTGACTTATTTTAGGACATGCAGGCTGTACGCATCCAGTGGGGCTCGAACTAAAGGATTTCTGGTTAGAGGATAAGCTCGTCTACAGCTTAAACAGTCGGATCCGACTCAGAGATCCATAAAATCAAGCATCTACCAATTCGAGCTTGCCTTATAAGGGGAAGGCCTTGCTTCTTTTGCACACAAACCATTGGTTGTCTCACGTGGATTGCGATAGCCTCTCCTGTTTGGATCATGCGGTACCTCAATGATTTTAGCAATTTATTTGGTACCCGATAGATAATAGATTAGAGTTCTTCAATGCTAGCTTTCTGATCGGTTTCGACCAGGTGTTCTAATATCGAAGTGCTGATTGTTTTTACTACACTTTTACTTAGCCATAACGGTAGATGTTGCTGAACACGAAAATCAATCATGTTCCTAGAGCAACGGCTAATATCTTTCCCGCTTCATGTGATATTCAGTGTATTGTCATGTTGATGCTAGTGAACTGTAATCCATTTATATTATTATCATTATTATTGATTCGATGTTATATAAACAACATTAATTTCGATAAAGAAAGGAAGACGAAATTTATCAAGGGAACCAAATGTATGAATTTTTTGAAAAGACGCCTCCCTGCCCCAACTATTAAGTCACTGAATCAGGTGGTGACCATACGTTGCAGAATATCTAGAGAATCAACAAAGATCAGGTTCTATGAACAGTGTTTGCAAACTGGTTGTTTCCCACGGCAGTTCCTGAAACAAGTGCGATCCGCTAAACTCCCACCTTCTCAAAAGAATCTCCGTCGAATAACTAAATCTCACATCGAATCGTCATACCAGTATATCTCCGAATTGAAATCTCGTCTGGCTACCTATGATACCCTACTAAGTGAGCTTAATATTATCTGCTGGCTTAAATTCATGAACTTTATCAAAGAGCTACAATCCAAAACATCCGAGGATTATGAAACTCAGCTGACAAAAGCGTTGGTGAAAGAGAAGCTAATTGAAGAATTCCCAGAAGCACCTGAACGCTACGTTTGTAACCTATCAAAATTACAATTAAACAAAATCGAATTAGAAGCCTTATCTCTAGGATTCAAGTTCCACGTCCCCAAGAAGCACATCAGTCGTGTAGACACAGAAGCACAATTCGAGCACTTATACCATCAACTCTACGACCTGAAGCCCTTAGACGAAGATAAAAGAGGATGGCTAAAGTCTAAACTTGTTGATATTGCTAACCAATACCACATATCACCAATCGAGAAGCAGAAGATGCTGACCGAAGAGCATAGAAAAGCTCTGAAGAAACTATATGAAAACGATGAAATCGTCATATTTAGACCTGACAAAGGCTCTGGGGTTGTTATAATGAACAAAGCTGATTATATACATAAAATGATGACAATTCTGAACGACAAAGAAAAATTCCAAGTAGACAACAAAAAAGATGCCACAACGTCATTTGAAAATAAAGTTAATAAATGTCTCAAAGAACTTCTAATGAAGAAACTAATCAACAGCGAAACATATAATAAACTGAAGTCAAAAGGTGGACACCTGCCGTCTATGTACGGCCTACCAAAAATTCATAAAGCAAATGTGCCATTAAGACCAATCCTGTCAATGATTGACTCACCATGCCACAAGCTAGCTCGATGGTTAGCTGATTCTATAGAGCCCATTCGAATTAAATTTGCAACCCACAGCCTGAAGGATAGTTATCAATTTTCCAAGGAAGTTGACAATATCGACATATCAGACAAACTCATGGTATCGTATGACGTGACCTCCTTGTTTACAAATGTACCACTGATGGAAACAATTGATATAATTTGTAAACAAACGGATCTACTACCATTACCGGAAACAGAGATGAAGCGACTTCTACTGCTCTGCACAAAAGATATACAATTCAAATTCAACAATCAACTTTACCGACAAACCGATGGGGTCGCGATGGGTTCGCCTCTGGGACCTATCCTGGCTGATATCTTCATGGGCTACCTTGAGCAAACACAACTAAGTTCTGCTATCAATGGAACTACCTACTATCGCCGATATGTTGATGACACATTTGTTGTTTGCAATGATATGGATCACGCATCGGCACTATATGATCGCCTAAATGAGATACATCCAAATATCAAATTCACCATGGAATATGAACATAATAATGAGTTCAATTTCCTGGATCTAAATGTAAAAAGAACAAACGAAGGCACGGTCGAAAAGTCCATCTATAGAAAAGAAACCTGAACTGGGCAATATCTTCACTATAACAGCTTTTGTCCCATAAGCTATAAACGTGGATTAGTGAGGACTTTGTATGACAGAGCCAGGAAGCTATGTTCACCAAACAGGGTCGAGGAAGAATTAGTTTTCGTCGAGAAATGCCTAAGGGAAAATGGATACCCTAAGGGATTTATTCAGAAGTACAGCAGAGAAAAAGATGAGAAAGTGATATGTATCCACATATATATATTTATGTGTGTGTGTGCATGTTGGTCTCTCTTTCTGTTTGCTCGGTTAGTCTGTGACCACTTCACTTGTATGGACTTGTCTCCTTTAATAATGTGTATTCTCCTTATATTATATTATATATAATATGAGTGTTTGTTGACAGTCCGTTGCTTGGTGACATATATCCATATATGTTTGTTGGCATGTCTGCTATATTCGCTATGTATAATTGGATCGACACTCCATTATAATTAGCCATTCATGTTAAGACTGTCTAATGATTTTTCCCACGCTTGTCTGAATTATTTATATATATTCGCATTCACAATTTGTGTGAACTACTTTACTTTACAACTACTTTACTTACTTACCACTTTGGTGTGAGACCATTTATTTTCGTCTCCTTGTGTT